TTTGACGGTCAAGCTTTGCCAATAGAAAATGTCATAAATTTGCTATATCTGTGCTGGAAATGAGAATAAAGCTGGTTGTTCCATTGTTTTCAAGGTCAAGATAAAGGTGCACTTTATTTATCCCCGCAGGGCAATTCATCCTCTGCATTTGACCCATCCTGATGCCACTAGGGCGTCTATCAGGAGCAGGGGTTGCCGTTGTACAGTGCCCGGGAGAATGTCGATATGTTTTCAGATCAAGGTCAAAAAGAAATGAATCCATTGTAGCACAAAATGATGTCAAATGTAAGGAGTTGCTCTCTGCCAGTGTTGTCCTGAAAAAAGTAGCTCTCCCAGGTAAAGGTTGGAGACCCCTGAACTACAGTAAAATCCAGGGCTATGTGAAATTTGTGTTTTTGGGGAGACAATCTTTTAGCGTCTGTTTGTGGATAAATGGCTAATGCTCATCAAAAATATAGGATGAAACAATAGTAAATAGCAGCACATGGTTTTGTTTACTACATTCTTGTTCGTTTACCTGTCATCCTCTGTGCTCTCCTGTAGTTTCCTCTGTATGTCCACATCCACAACACTGCGTGAACAGCTGAGACAAAGAAATATCCACTTTTGGTCACGTGGCGACTTTGGCCAGATATGCACTGCTTCATGACATATTTACAATAATTAAATGTAAATCTTACTATCGGAAACCATTCATATACTATTTCTTGCAGTGGTGTATACAGTATTTTAAACCTGCTTCTCTATTGTGCTGAAGTTAGAGATTTTATACTTACTTCTTATTATGCTAAAGTATGCCTCGGAGATTTTATGCTTAGTTCTTGCTTCTTTATTATGCTAAAGTCGGAGATTTTAGACTTGCTTCTTTATTATGTCTAAGCTAGAGCTCACATACTTGCTACTTTATTAGCTAAAGTTATAGATTTTTTTTTATTTCATTTGAGTGTAGAGTTATTGTTCATCTATCTTGTGTTGTGTGCTCCTCATTCCTACAGTTCTGTAACTGGTGTTGCAACACATAAAGAATCTCTTACCTCCATTTATTTGATATTTCCCTGCACAAACATTGGCAAACAGCTCTCCAAATGTTATTTTACACTTTTACACGAGACATATTTCAGAAATTAACTGTAAATTTAACTGAAGCAAAACAAATCCAGGCTCAAAATCCAAACTGGATCATTTACATTTCACTGTCAAGTCACAGCAGCAAAGTGTGTAAAGTTCAGCAACTCTTTACTATGCAAAGGGCTAAACCTCCCTCTCATGCTTCAATCTGGCTTTGTTTGAAGTGAGCTCTTTTTAATTGCTGTAAAATACCTGAATATCTTTGATAGTGTCTGGCTCTGCCTCATAAGCACACAAAAGATAAAAGTCCCATTTCTTTGGGTAATGAGCCAAGGAGACATTCTCACACAAGCGCCGCAGACATCCCAGCGTCTGCCCCGACTTGACACATACTTCTGTTCATCAGTGAGGCTCTTCAGAAGTACAGCGACATTCACGGGAACATGGGCAAAATCCACTTTTAGGAGATTTCAAGGCATGTTGTAATTGTTCTCTCTTCTCATTATCCCACTCAGAGTTGCTTTGAGTGTCAGGCATTTTGGCCCTTGCTCATGTGATCGTCCACTTGGTTGTGATGTTATTGTTGTGATGTCGTATAGTGTATTTGTATTCCAGATACTTGCACTTGGCAAATCAGAATTGTGAGTTTTTAATAATGCATGCTGTTGTAAGTTTTTAGATTTTGTTAATGGTCAAAAATATATATATCGTGCCTCTGAAAAGCATTAACACAGCTTGCACTATTACTTGTTTCCAACCATAAACATAAATATTATAACACTTTTTATTAATATTATTTTTTAATGGTGAAATATAACTATTTAGCAGATGAATCTTCAATACTGTATATCCTTTTTTCCTGCGTTTAGGTCCTGTATACATCCATCTATATAATACATTACTTAAAGCTGGAGTACCTGACTTTGAAACTACAAAACATTGAACCATGTAATCAAATCCATGTCTCTCGGGGCGACAGTGGCTTAGTTGGTAGAGCATTGGTCTTTGAGCCCGAAGGTCTTGGCTTCGAGCCCACCACGAGACCTTCTCCATCGACTCCCACTGATGTCTGTTGTTGTTGTCCTTGGGCAAGACACTTAACCCCACTTTGCCTATAAGGAGCGCGGAAGAGATGTTGGCTGCTTGCCTTGATGTGCATATGTGTATGTACAGTATATGTGTATATGTATACTGTATGTATATGTGTATGTGTATGCATCAAACTGAAATTTCCCCATTGTGGGACGAATAAAGGACCTTCTTCTTCTTCTTAGCTCCTCGCTCTCAAAACAGTTTCTACGTTTCACATTTTTGGCTTCTGTTTAGATCTGCTTTTTCAGACAAAAAGGTTAAAAAGAGAGGACCACCACTTTCTGCCAAACAGCTTTCACCCGAAAGAGTCAAATAGTGATAGTCACAAGGATCTTTCTTACTAGTTTGCAGTATATATTTATTCTGATTTGTTCACAGTTTACATCTACAACACTTTCTTTTGAGACAGACAAAAGGTGTTTTTCCCCACTGTGGGACGAATAAAGGATCCTTTATCTTTGTTTGCAATAATGTGGGGTACCTGTGTTTTTATATTCATTTGTTTATTTATTTGAAACATGCACAAGATATACAATTATTCACAGAAAAAATAAAAATGGGCATGGTTTGAAAAGGGATTGGTCGAAGCAAAAAACGTATTTTAATCCAATCCCATCCGCGCCATTCAAACACATACTAGAATACAAAAAAAACTAACAATCAAAACCCTACAATACCCTCCAACAAAACACATGACAGTTAAATGACACACACACACACTCAATAATATAAACACATATCCATAGACTTCTGGGAAAAAAAAAACTGCAGACCTGTTTGTCCTCTGTGATATAGAAGTAGACCAAGGACACATAACTTCACTGCTTTTTTCAGGCCCACAATGTGATGATGTAGTTTGGAATCTTCCCTATAGCGGATACACCTCCACAGAAAGTACACAGAAAGTATATTTCGGCCGGACTCAGAATGGACTTGAGACTAAGAATGTCTTGAGGGTCCAAGTCTGCAGAGTCCTATACAGCCGGTACATAAGCTCCAGATAGATGCCTCCAACAGACTACTTCATTTACTGTACAACACTATGGCAAGTTTTTCAATTATGGAGGTTATTTTAATTTGCCTTTTTTTATGGCTCCGCAGCATTTTTAAAGTTTCCAATGAATAGACAGTTAGTACAGAGCATTGGGAGGAGGTAGAAGCAGCTTTTCTGAACTCTCAAGGCTAATGTAATGTACTTTTATGGCCATTCAACTAAAATATATATTTGGTACATAGCCAAAAATTGAACTTTACATGGATTAGACTAAAATGGTTTTAAGTTTAACCATAGTAATGACAGAAGTTAAGTGAGACATAGCATGCAAATTACTTTTTTGGGATGTTAGCCGTGTCACAATATTTTTTCCCCTCATCTGTCACAGAATTTTATATATTTTTTTTTTTAGATGTTTATTCATGTTAATATTCTGTCTTCCCTTCTGTCTCAGCCCTGTATTAGCATGATGTCATTGTAACAATATTTTGTATATCGTGCTCTTTTGGACACCCAAAGATGCTTCACATGTCGTTATTCATTCACTCCATACACGGTGGTGATAAACTACTACTGTAGCCACAGCTGCCCTGGGGCATGCTGACAGAAGCGAGGCAACCAGTATGTGCCATCGGCCCCTTCAACCACCACCAACCATTTACACACACACCAGACTCATTCTAGGCAATGTGTGTGAAGTGTCTTGCCTAAGGACACAACGGCAGCAGACATCAGTGGGAGTCGGTGGAAAAAGTCTTGTGGTGGGCTCGAACCCACAACCTTCAGGCGCAAAAGCCACTGCTCTACCAACTGAGCCACAGTTGCCCACTATGACATCACGCTCAGAGCAGTTACCGTACTATATTTTAGCTTGGTTACAGCTGGTCATTTCCCAGTTTGGAATTCAGCAAAAAATCTGTTTTACCTTTCATACTTATTTTGCCATACTGTATATTATCGACTTGAGTTAATATTTCACTTTCTAAAACATGACAACAGTGTGTACAAGACAAGTACATAAATAAAAGAAGGTTAAAACTACAGAAATAAAACAAAAAACCAGGTAACAATTGACACTGTGAAATCGATCGACTAAAACAGTTTCAATACAAAGGCAATTATTTTTGATGAAGATAAATAATGTGTAATATGAATGATAAAAAACAATTTGTAACAACACACATTAAAACTAAAGGAGTTCAAGCTCAAATAGAAACCAAATCTTGATAATACTGCTTTACTTTGCCCTGTCATGTTTAGGAATGTGAAATTAAATAATATTCATGGATAAACGGAATAAGACATGTTGATGATGATAAGCAACTCTCCCATCTGTAAAAGTATTTTCTGCTTTTGTAAGTTAATTTCCAATACAACACAGTCTAATGGTGCTTCACTTGTTTATTTTTGCTCTTTAGACGGACTAAACGTAATGCATGAGTCTGCACAAGTACCACTCTGAAGAGATTTATGAAAATTGAATCCACATTGATTATAGTGACTAGTGGGTTCCGCACCGATAGAAGGAACATAGATTGTAAACCTGAGAGATTTATTATAAAGTCAAGCAATCACTACTGTGTTGACGCGCCCTGTTTCCGCTTGTTATTTTCCAAAATACTTTTCCAATTTCTGAGCATCGAAATGGAAAACCTGCCCACCAGCAGCAATGAAGGTCAGCAATGACAGCTGCAAACACAATAGTTTCGACTCTTTCTCAAGTAGTTGTTGTGACATGTGATTTCAGCCCACGGCAACAAACGGATATAGAAAAGTGGATTGTGTGTAAAATGTGTCTGTTGTTGAAGTTTGATAATGTGTTTTTTTTTTCTTCCCTTTGCCGCAGACATCGACGAGTGTTCGTTCGACCGTGCTTGTGACCACTTCTGTGTGAACTCAGCGGGGAGTTTTCAGTGTCTCTGTAATAAAGGCTACGTGCTGTACGGCCTGGCGCACTGCGGAGGTAAGGGCACGGTTTAAATCGCATTTAAATCTGACACAAAGAAATTCCAGATGGACACAAAGCACTTCTTCAAGATTCAGCCTTAAAAACCACATTTAATTTGGTTGCAAAGTGAATAATATGCATCAATCCGAAGTGCAGATCACAGCCTTTTCTTCATTTTTAAATGAAAAAGGAATGGAAAGCCATGGGTCCTCAAACAAATACTCAACCGTTAAATCCCTAACCCAATGTAAAGTAGACTGTCCTCAGACAGAAGCCGCACAATTCTATTCAAGGAGACTAAGGTGATTCAAAACATGTCCAATAGTCCCCCATAGTACAAATAGCACCCTTTACATTGTCTAATTGGGACAGTCTACAAATGACACAAGACCGGTACAAACAGAAGCTCATGGAGGAGGTATTATGGATGATGATGTACAGTAAATGTAAAGCATAGTTGTGCATATTCTACGAGGAACAAATAACTTAGTACAATAACTTCAGTAGTTCAGTGAGATAAGAAGCCGCAGTCCTTGTTCTACAGCCTGAGTTCTGGATCTATGCTCTGTCCGTCCCTGGGAGTGGATCCCTCTCTCCTTATGGGCCTCCCCAAGGTTTCTCATTTTTTCCCACTGTTTTATTTTATTTATATTTTTAGTCCATCCTTGCTGTTACAGGACGGTCTAAGTGATGATCAGGGCATTTAAGGACATTTATGTACATTTGCTGATGTTTATGGACATTGCTCGTCCAAATGGCTCCTCAGTGTTTGGTATTATTCGACTTTTTTGATTCCTTAAATGTAGTTGAGCAATCGACAACTTGGTAAAGTCCTCAGAGACGACTGCTGTTGTGATTAACTTTTGGTAAACTTTTTGTAAAAATAAATCAATTTGAATAGAATAAATTTAAAAAAAAGTAGCTCTTGAGATGACAATTTAAGCATGAAAACAAATATGGTATTCAAAAAAAGGAATGACATTAAAGCAATAGAATTTCCTATTTGAGATGAGCAGAGACCAGCGGCTTCTGTGTCAGACAGGAAGAGCCGGAACTGTCCCATTACAAGAGCTTTATTGTTGTCGTTGTTGTTACGCTACGGATCGGTGAATGTAATTCCCATGTCTACCACCTGAGTCTTTGGATCATAAATAGACCTTATTTATCTCAAAAGGATTTTACATGATAAATTGTATTATTATCTTATTATTGTTAATATCATATTTTGACACCCCACTCAGTTATCACAGAACTTGTTTCTTATGAAGAAGGTCAAGAAACACACATTTCTTATTGAGAATGTCTTTAGATGTCTGTTTTTGCATCTTGGTAAATCAAGCACTGGTTGTTTGAACATCCTCCATAAAAAACATGCATATTGTATCTTTATAATAGGCTCTTCACATTTTGCTACCACAAAAATCACAATTATTCTCCTCTGCCTTTCGAATATTTTTTCCTACTTCAAATCCAGCCGCAGCTCCAAATATCATTTCACCTTTTCATTACATTCCAGCAGTGGAGAAAAGAATGAAAAAAAAAAACGCTGGTAAGCTCATTTTGACGGATCACCTTTTTTCAGAGCGGTTTTTAAGTCTCGAGGAGTTGATTCTCTCGAAGCATTGAAATGAGACGGAACAGGTGGCTGCCCGGAAGGCGCTAAATCAATCTGAAAGCAGCAGTGCGCAAGTATAATGTAAGGCCTAGACGTTTTGTGCTGTACTTAATAGACTCAGCCTGACTATTGGCCCTTCTGAAAGTATAAGCCCAGTGACATCTATCAGGCTGCAGCAGGTACCAATTGTAGCTCGGTCTGTGTGGATTTGATGGAGAGGGCGAAGACGGAGTGGAGTGCTAATCACTTGTCGTTACCGCCCGGGGCCTAAGAGTCATTTTTCCTTCTTACCATGAGAGGAAAAGGAGGTAAAGATGAAAACACAGCCTGGTTGAAGCTGCCACTGCATATAGATGCGAACGTTATTGGTTTCATTGCTACTCTATGTGTAATTACTGCGGTGTTTGCCTCTTTGCCGAGTAAATGGAAATGGAAAGATTATTGCAACATCAACAATTCAAGCAAGAATAATTGATTAGATTGAGAGATGCCAGATTATTTTTCATGTTATTTCACACCAAGGAAAATCTAATTGAGACACTTGAATTAGAAACATAGATTTTCGAGTAGACTATTTGAATGGGCCTATGTGTGACAAATCAATCTATATTGTTGTTTATAATAATTCAAGTTTTGTTTTATTTTTCTTGTGATACAAAGGCATTGGATTTATACAGTGGGGAAGGGTCCCAGCTCAAAAAGGTTCATGAGCACATGTGCTAATACTTCACAATACTACTTAAGATGCGTGTCATTGCTGAGGAGTATATATATTTTTTTGGACCAGCCTAGTTTAGCCGCAGTGGACTTTGAATGAAGTCGTTTTTTGTCAGGCTTGTGCCAACTAACGCATGCGGAAAAGCATTTTTTTTTCACCATTTTCCTGCGGGAGGGGCTACTTGCGGCCATTTTGAAAAGGTGCATAGGCGTCGCTACGTTCGTTAATATATACAGTTTATTAACAGGTTTTATACAACGTCTTTTTTTAACGATCAAAGACGCTTCTCGTGTCATTATACATTCACTCCATGCACTGTGCTGATGAACTACTAATGTAGCTGCAGATTTTTTTTTTTATCAAATGTTGTAGAGCCAATATGTATGCTTTTTTGTAGGATGTGCAAAGGATTAGTGCTTGATTTACCCAGATGCAAAAACAGACATCTGACCATCACACACACCAGACTCATTCTAGGCAATGGGGGTAAAGTGTCTTGCCTAAGGACACAACAGCAGTTTAGCACTTTACAGTCTTGCCTTGTGGTGGGCTCGAATCCACGACCTTCTGGCTCAAAGGCCAATGCTCTACCAACTGAGCTACTGTCGCCCACTTTTATCTGGTAGTTGTTTTTGTGGTTTTTCTTGTCTAGTCTTATCTTCTGATATAGATAATAGTTTATTTCGGTCCACATGGCTGAAGACAAAGCAGTCACTATGCAACAGTGAGAGATAGAGGTTTGGCTGTAGTACAAGAACAAGATCAGGTTTTTTTAATTCAAGTAAAAACAGCGCCTGACTCAAACATAAATAGCTTTTCTTTGAGCACCTTGAAGCCCACTCAGATTTCAATAAGCTTTCACTTTTTGTTATCAAGTATCCATTGGTGTTAATCAAAGGATGGATGAACTCCACAGTAAAGAATTAAAGAAGCTATACTCGATTTTTTTTCTAAGTAGTTCATAAAAATGCTTTTTACTACATACAAGTTGTATCATAATACATACTTTAATCGAAAACTTGAGGTCATTGATTCAGCTGTGTATGAAATTTATGCCGTAAAAAGTGCTGAGTAGAGTCTGAGCGGGCCGCTCGTTCTCCTCCACTCACAGAACGAGCAGCGATCAGCCTGCGTCCTCTAGCCTCTACAGCGCTGCTTAACACCAGGGCTTCGACTTCAAAATTCGAATATAATTCTAAAATAAAATTATATATATATATATATATATATATATATATATATTCGAACAAATATTAGACAGTCCTTACAATTCGAAATGTATTTAATGACTGCAAATAAAACAGTTAGCTCCCAAAGGTTTCACCGGGACGTGCTAGGCAGGTAACAGCTAAGCTAGCTAGCTGTTTCATGGTAACTTCCGGGTTTTTCGCGATCGCTTTTTGTCACTTTAAAACAGTATTTTTGTCATGAAAACGTTGACCACAAATTCTGAAATCACCCGTGCAAGTGTCATCTCAAGTGTCATTGTCTGATTAACGTTTAATGGTGTTGATTGATAGATATGTAGCTAGTTGTTTATTGAGCGTGGCTAGCTCCGCTAGCTTCTCTACACAGACAAGTGTGCAGATAAACTGCAGTCAATGTAGTGACAGGCGCTGATAGCTTGTACTTGTGGAGTAATGGCAGTATTTTACACACCTGAATCACAAACAGAGATTGCATTGGGGCTTCGGTCATTATTGGTTTGAGAGTTCTGTTATCAAGAAAAAATGATCGGAAGAATTGCATTCAAGTCAATGGAGTGCTGCTGCTGTGAGGAGCTGTATAATAAATTATAATTAAATATTAGAATATATTCTAATGTGTTGGAACGAGTTGGAGGGCGGTGCTAAACATTCAAACATTGCAGAAACGGGTATAGCGCCTTTAATGCAGACAATTTTCCTCATTTTATGTGTTGGATACAAACAGCAAATAACTGTACCACAATAAAAGTGAATCCACTGTATATGCAAATTTATTAGTAGTGTACTCAGATCAGTTTAGCATTGTTAGCGCTAACTACAGCTGAAATAACTAATGATTAATAACAACTAATCATGTTTTAAAAATTATCTACAACTGTTTTATCCGTTGCTAGCTACGATATACACAGACTCCATCATATGTAAGGGTTGTGAAATGTGATTTAAGATTTTGAATAATCAGGAATTGTGTGCATTGGGTTTTTTTTCTGGTAGAAAATGAAGTTATTGATATGGATTCACTCCAACTTCATATACTCCAACTTAAAATATCATACTGGCATTCTAAACAACTAATCAATTAAATGTAAGAACAATCGCTAGAGAAATCAATCCTCAAAGTAATTCTGAGTTGCAGACCTAAGCACGGTGGCGCAGTGGCTAGTGCTTGTGCTAGAAGGTCCTTCTCCAGACCTTTCTGTGCGGTGCTCATGCTCTCTGCGTAGGTTTCCTCCGGGTGCTCCGGTTTCCCCTACAACTAAAAACATGTACAATAGGTCTGGCATGCGCAACCCCGCTCCCATCTCTGTGTGAAGTGAGAGACAAATGCCCACAATAAATGTAAAGTACTTTGTGACTCTAGTCTGTGAAAGGGGCTATACAATTAAAAACTTACTTACTATTCCCCACCTACAGTAAATGATGCTCAGACTTAGACTTCTTGCAAGTTCGGCCCTGGATGTCACTTGCTTATGCC